CTATTGTACAGCGCTTTGTGAATCTATGTCTGTGAAAAGTGCTTTATTAATAAACTTTACTTACTTACTTTCTTACTTAATTAAAAAATGTATTTTTTTTCTTTTTACCTTTTTAATATTTAGATTGCAATGGGATCAAATTGTGTCAAAATATCTATATCTATTCTTGTGGTTATACTACAAGTTCTTGTTACTTTTCCCCTCACCATTACTGATAGCAAAAAATGTTTTAGAGTAAAAAATGTTTTAGAGTAAAAAAAAAAAAAAACGCTAATTAATTAAGAGGTATGTTATAATCCTATTTACAGTATGTCAGAAGCAAACAGTTCCTTGGGAGTTCTGTGCTCCTGAGGCAATTTTATAAAGCCTGCAAAAAGTTTAGATTAATGCAGCAATGCAAAACATTTACAACCACAAAATATATGATACCTATTAAAACAACTTTGTTCCTTTTGATCGCTGCAAATTAAAGTTTCTGTAGTACATACACAGTTTACTGAAGATTTGATAACAAAAATACTGCAAAGTAAGTTTAGTGTTTTGAATAAATGTGCTTTCAGTCGCTTAGAATTTCAGAACAGTACTGTCTTACCTTCAGTATACTGTATATGAACATACATCATAAATAGGAAAACTGAAAGCATCAGATACAAATCAGTATCACATCAGTTTCATCAGTTACGATTATCGCAATGTTAAAAATGTCCCAAGTTAGTATGCTTCCATTCAGTAAAGGTTAGCTGTAATCATTGCCTGAATATGGCCATTGTCACTTTGCAGCTAATACATGTTGCTACTATGCCTGCTTGCCATAAAGACTTATTTATGTAAAAATAAACAATATTCAGCAATAAATGTGCACTTGTATGTGCAAAATGAGATAAAGTGACTGAAAGAAAAAAGAAAAGTCAAAGGCAAGTGAGGACAAAAAAAACTCTCAACCACCATAAAGATTCTGTCTAACAAACTTTACGGTAGTTCAGGCCTCTTATTTGAAACATTGTTCTGCCTTAACGTCAGCTTTAAAATAACATTTCTGTCATGGAAACAGCATGCACGTCATCTAAAGGCAAATGCTGTTGGGGCTTGAGCACTTCATGAAACAGTGTGAGTGTGTGTGTGCAGGTTTTTGATACCTGGTGGGGACAATCTTTAACCATTTTCTTGGTACACACAGCCTGGTGAGGACTCACTCTTCCTTACGGGGACAAAAGCCTGGTCCTCACCGGGGGAAATACCATTGGTGGGTCAGGGGTTAGGACTAACGTGAATTGAGTTTAGGTTGGGTTTAGTTATATACTGTACCTGTGAGGTTAGATTTAAGGTAAGGGGTCAGGGTTAGGCTACAGAAATGACCAGTAAATGAATAGAAGTCAATGCACAGTCCCCATGAGGATAAAAGAACAAACATGCATGTGTGTGTGTGTGTGTGTGTGTGTGTGTGTGTGTTTGTTTGTCACTTCAGCTTTCAGTGAAACAAGTTTGGTATTACATGAACAACATTTTTTTCTTCTTCCAATCATATGAAATTTGAAATACTTTAATTACCAGACCCGTAGCGGCCTTTTTCGAGTCAGACTGACCTGACCTCTCCTGGATCTTCAGTGACCAGCACGTCTGTCTTGCAGCTGGCGATGGGGTTGATTGACAGCTCCACTGGTGGCACTACAAAGCTTTTGCTGACTGGCAGCCACAGACCTTGGCCCAGACTGTAGAACGATCTGTGTTGGCATGCCAACAAGGCATAAATGTCAGGTGTGCTCTAATGACATCATCATCTTTTATTAGTATAGACAAGAGCAGACTGAACGACACACAATACAAGCACATAAACCAACAAACACACAGGTGGATGTTGTAGTGAGGAGGGCTCAATAAGAAACAGGTTCTGTGATTGCTGGAATGTTGTTATTAGACTCATTTAAACATTTTATTTTATGTTACATTCAAATATTGACTAAAAGCTAGCTTCTGATGCACCACAAATGGGTTTATATATATA